GACGCGCAGTTGAAACGCTTCTTTTGGGCTGGAATGAGACGTTAATCGGATCACTGAGCTCGGATCCTGGATGCATGTTTCCGAGAGGCAAAACACATCAGTCTCTAGATTTTCGAGCATGCGAGCCAAACCTGCTTGTTGTCCTGTACACAACAGAGTTCTTATGTTGAATGAAGCCATTTTGAACACAGAGTGAGATCGGATGAATGGAACGTTCGGCCCCGAGACAGATGTCAAGAAGGATAGCGGTGAGCTACAACATGAACGTACGTCAGTGGAACCATTCGGAGTGGGACAGACGGTGGAAAAAATGGGAGGGGGGGAGCGGGTGCAAATGTTGCGTGCAGATTCTAAGAGAAAGCTTTGCAAAAGTGTAGTATTCTGTGACATGCGTGTATATGTATGTTCATAAGTCCATGGTTAGTTTGTGGGCGTGGTACTACCCGGTTGCTCAGGCCGAGGTAGAGAGTTTTCTTGGGGGACCTTACCCAGAGTGTTTGGTTAAGGAACCTGACCCACAAGACAGTGGGATGGAGTAAGAAGTCCACGACCTTCCAGGATCCGGTGACTGGGGGGTCAGTTCATACACCTTTCGGATGCAGCTATGTATCAAGGGTACCTAGATTGCCCTTGAGCCGCGGACTTGCCGGTGAGCATCACTTTGGAGACCAGTTCGGTTGCGTTGAAGATTGGTCCCACTATGAGCTTCTTACGCCAGGTGTGGGTGATTTGGAATCAGGGTTTAGCCAACTCTCCTAGACTGACTACCAGTGGTCAGTCAACCTGGTGGAAAGCGCGGGGCATACGCGTTTGCCCTTTATTGTTAACGTCGCCACGAGAAGTCAGTGTGTAGGACTTCCTCAGCAGAAGTCATTTGACACATACTTGGTCGTTTGGGAGCGTTTCTAGAACAGTTGGGGACGAATGGCCATTTCGGAGCCCGAGACACCCACTCCCGACCATATTGAAGCAAGGTGTAACTGGGATTTTGGCTTCATACTTGAACTTGAATAACGTTATTTTCTTTGTGGTTTAGAATTTAAATGAAATTTACTTGTATGTAAACGCTTAATTTTCGATGAAGCAGCATTGTCGGGTCAGCTGATTACCGCTTTCAACTTATAAAATCAGTTGCACACGGTAAACGAAACGTCGTTTGATAACCAACCTACCCAGCAACCGTATGCTATCGAATATCAAACGTCCACCTGATGCATGGCCATGATACATTTCTAGTCAAATTCGCGTAGACTAATACTGATCATCAATGTTTCTCCTGTTCTCTGTCTTTTCGGTTCCACCGTTAGGCTGATTTCGTTGTGGTCGACACGAGAACATGCCATCCGCGTCAAGGATGCAGCAATCCGGAACTTTATGATCTTATCGATCCGGAATTGGTTGGAAAACATGCGTTGTGTGAAATTCTACTCACTTCTGAAGTCATCGACTACGCCGTCACCCCACGCCCTTGGAAACCGTACTTTGAGATAGTTTATGTGGATCCAGAATACGGACGTGTTATACTCTACGTCCGTCCATCAATCGCAACCTGACGGCGTCTCATGCATTTTGTCTCATCGACGTAGTTCATACAATGGCTTCTCCCCTTTTATGCTCTTTCGTTGAATTTTGTTTTGAAGTTTTATCGATTCATTCTTTTTTTAAAGTTGCCTTTTTTCCAATACTGCATCACCAATATTATCTGAGAGTTACAGAGTTTTCAATAAAATTTCTCAATTATGATAGTCATCCGTCGCTGTGTTGTTCTTAACGTTCCCTAAAATGCTCGTTGTTTCCGTTAAAACACCTCATTTTTCGTTAATCTCAAATGACATGAGGCACAAATATTTCATGCTGTACAGCTGAAGTAACTGTGGAATTGAATTTGTTTAAAAAGACCGAGCAATGAACTTCGTCAACTATCCGATACCTGTGTGATCTTCACGGCCCTAGATAGGCATGTTGTTTGTTTAGGCTAGAATTGAATAACATAAGTCGGTCTACGTCTCTAGACGGAGGCTTTTACTCGTGAGCTTGATGTCAAGTGTGCAAAATAACCACTTTTGGGAATCAATATTGAGATGTTCTTAATACCTACACTTTTCGTAGACAATATCCATAGTGCAACGTTGCGAGATGCAAAATTTTCACAAATTGATCGAATCTAAAGACACCGTGCATGGATGATTTCACTCACGGAGGATGGGATAACGCTGATTGCCAAGGCGCACTTCAAGGCTTGTTTCACTAATAGAGAGACCAAGCAGATACGCGGATGCTATAGCTATTAGTAAAAGTATGTTTACTTATTGTGCATTAAAACCTACTGAATGACTCCGAGTCTAGTACTATGATAACTAAGGCACATGATCCGCTGGT